TCACAGATATTTATTAAGCACCTGTGTGCTGAACATTATGCTATGTGTAGGGATAGAAAGATGGCTGAGATGAAATCTTGTCTTCAAGGAACTTTGGTGGGACAGACAGTTTCCGCAAAATGTTTACCTGCAGTGCTAAAGTTTGCATGGGCAGGGATGGGGGATGGCTCTCTGGTTTCAGAGAGTGAATCCTAAGGGTGACTTGGCCCCCGGGGTTGAAAAGGACTGGACAGGTTGGACAGCTCCAAATGGGCAGGAAAGAGCTAGGTCTCACTAGAAACTCAGGCACAGCTCTCAGCTTGGCATGTCAGAGGTTATTGGAGAGGGCAGGCCCATCTTGATGTTGGCACTGACACCAGGGGAGGAGCTGGCAGCATTTCCTGGTCTCAGAATGTTCAGTGTGGTATGTGGTTCTCTGCAGAGATTCATGGGGACTGAGTTCTGATGGCAAGGTTCAGTCTGGTGTCATTCCTCCACCAGCATCTAACATTTTTAGCCATTATGTGTTTTGTAGCTAGAATACACGAGGCTAGTTTGTGTATTATCTCTCAATTCTGATAACTGTGAATTTAAAAGCTGATAATTTTAAAGCTTGTTAGAATTTTTAAAAGTATAGACTCTTGCCAGAGTAAGTATCTTGCCAAAGGATAGAACTGAGGGTTTTTGTTTTTGTTTTTGTTTTTGAGACAGAGTCTCACTTTGTCACCCTCAGTAGAGGCTATGGCATCATAGCTCACAGCAACCTCAAACTTTTGGGCTCAAGAGATGCTCTTGCCTCAGCCTCCCAAGGAGCTGGGCCTACAGGCACTTGCCACCTTGCCCGGCTATTTTTTAGAAATGGGGTCTCACTCTTGCTCAGGGTGGTCTCAAACTCTTTCACCTGTTTCAACCTCCCACTCATAGTGCTAGGATTACAGGTGTGAGCCACTGCGCCTGGCTAGGAACTGAGGTTTGTCTGCTGTACTGCTTTCAGAGGCTGACAATGTGCTCATCTGACTCTGGAGATGGCCCTTATCAGGGGGAAAAGTTAAAGGTCATATACGCCAAGTGGTGCTCTGTCTTCCAGCCATCCTGTGTTTTGTAGCTAGAATGTAGTGCCAGGCCAGTTTGTATATTATCTCTCTTAATTCAGACAGCTGTGAAAGTATGTAATTTTAAAGCTTGTTTTAGAATTTGAAAAGATAGACTCTTGCTCTACTAAGTACAGGAGGAGAGATGGTGAGGAAGAGAGCAGCCTTTGCCTTTAAGTTCCAAACAAGCTGATGAGGTCCTTGAGAGTAGGACGTGACTTCTAAAATATAATTAAATTACCTCTCTACACTGCTGTGTACTCAAGCCTGACCTTTCACATATGTAATGAACACAAACAAATCTTCGGTTCTTGGCACCTGTCTTCTGACCTGTACACAGTGTTTACCCTTCAAGCATGCTGATCTGGGTCTCCATTTTGGCTCATAAAGGGATTGATGCGTAATCCCTGCAGGCCCCCCCAGGTGTCTGCATTGTGTGCACTAGGGTACTGGCCAGGTGCTGGTGGAGGCAGTGATCTTATTTCATGAAACTCCTAGCCTTTGGTCTGTGCTGCAGGAGATAGCAGATCCTGCTAGGGAAAGTTCAAAAGGCCGCTGATAAGAAAGAAATGTGACTTTCAAAATTAAGGGAGATAGAGCTTCTTTAAACAGGGACATATCCTCAGGCAGACAGGAGAATGAATGTCAGTCCATCAGTTAAGTTGAGCTCCTGGTAAGTGCCCAGCTTTACTGGGTACTAAGGTAGAGAAGAAACGTTCCAGATACTACCTGTTGGGTAAGAAGGAACACACATGAAAATGTCACCAAGAATTTAAAGCAGTCTACGGGTGCCATGTGAGTGTCACAGGCAGAACAGTAGTTGAAGGAAAAGGATCATTAGTCTGATGTTCAGGGCAGATGGGGTAGAGCGGGGACACATGCACCAGCCACATGTGAAGGACTCTGAGTTTTCTCCTTGAGCACAGAGGACTTGATGGGAACAGAAGGAGCTAAGCAGGAGCAGTCAGCTAGCACACGCAGCACTTGCCCTGTGGCTTCTCGGGGGCAGCACTCTGCCACCACTCATCTGTAGCCACGAGCTGGGCTGCTAGTTTTCTCTGGCCTCAAAAAGACAGTTCAAGTAGATTTTTAAAGATACATTTTCTTTTACAGTGAAGGTTGATACAATATTCATTGCAAGTTTTTTTTGATCTAAAAAGTAGAAAGAAGAAAATGATCTTACCACCCTGGTGATAACCTGTGGTGCATTTCCTTCCAGGTTTTTGTAATAATGAATGTCAGGCATCAGGCATGAGTAGCTAAAGCCCATAAGGAGCTTCATAGTGAAACCCATTATTAGCAGCATGGACAGCCCTAAATGTGCCTGCTGTTAAAGGAGATGATCTCATTTCTCTGTTGGAAGGATTTCCCTTTACTATCCCACAGAGCAGAAACGATACACGGACTGACATGGTGCGCTCCCTGAAGTGAGCCCTGTCCACAGGGCAACAGAGTCTGGTCTGGAGCCATGGCTGGAGAGCCCCCGATATCTTCCCCTGCCCTGCCTCAAGTCCTAGAGGCAGCCCCTTAATCAGGATCCCAGAGTGACCCAAAGCAGGGCAGGTGGACTCTGAGCCCAGGTCTGGGCCTGTCTGCCACATGGCTCAGGTGACCTCTCTGGGCCCTACCCGGCTGCTCAGATGGCTCATAGCTCCTTTTTTGCCCCCTAGGTGCCCATGACTGACCGGAAGCAACTTCCCAAATGGCCTGCATGTATTTTTCATTGGTCATTTTTTGCATAATCACAAGGGCTAGGATGGTTAAAGACTTGGATTGGTAGTATTTGCCTTGTTGCTGTTGGAAAGTCAGAGCTCAGTCATTCTGAGTGGCAGAACACAATGCAGAGAGGAATCTGGGTGAAAAGACCAGTGCAGGGCTGGCAGTAGGAGAAAAGTATTAGGTTTTCATGTATCTCATGAGAAATTGCCTGGGGTCATTTCTTATGTATCATTATCTAATATACTACGTGTGTTCCCCTATGCTATTGATATTAATAGTAGTAAATACCATTTACTGAATACTATGTCTTTTTTTTTTTTGAGACACAATCTCAAGCTGTCGCCATGGGTAGAGTGCCATGATGTCACAGCTCACAGCAACCGCAAACTCTTGGGCTTAAGCGATTCACTTGCCTCAGCCTCCCAAGTAGCAGGGACTACAGGTGCCCACCACAATACCCAGCTATTTTTTGGTTGTAGTTGTCATTGTTGTTTGGCAGGCCTGGGCTGGATTTGAACCCACCAGCTCCGGTGTATGTCGCTGGAGCCTTAGCTGCTGAGCTACAAGCACCGAGCCTCAATACCATGTCTTGAATGTTACTTATCATTCAGCTCTGTGACATGTCCCCACTTTACAGGTGAGGAGATGGAGTTTTAGCACCAGACTAGGTGACTGGGACTTGCTCCCAGCTCCCTGAGCCCAGGTTCTTTCTACTCACACTTTCTGCCATGCTCTTTCTTCCTCACTGGGTTTTGCATTTAGCTCACATCTTTAGTATAAGACAATCTTCTGTGACCTTCCAGAATTCAGAGGCTGCTCTGAATTTGACCATGAGATAGTCATTTCATGCACTTCCTTAGAAGTACAAGAGCACAGAGTCCTAGAGAAGCAGCTTCCCACAGACACTCCTCAGGAAACACTTCAGAGGCTTCTCTCCGTGAGCCTTCCCACCTGACTGGCAATTGGGCCTCTTTGAGGGAACATTGCCATGGAAGTCGCTTTCCTTTCCTTCCAGGCTCCAGTTATGGGCGTCCCATGAGCTGCTGGAAAGCAGTGATGCTTTTAGGCCCTCATCTTCTAGGACAGAGACTCTCAAACTGATTCAGAGTGTGTGTGAATCACCTCAGTACTTATGAGCACAGCTTGCTGAGCCCCACCTGTAGTCACGGTCCCCCCCGTGAGCCCAGCAGGTCTAGGGGTCTTGAGAAGCTGCATTTCTTTTTTTTTTTTTTTTTTTGAGACGGAGCCTCAAGCTATCCCCCTGGGTAGAGTGCCATGGCATCACGCTCGCAGCAACCTCCAACTCCTGGGCT